GTAACATTTATAAATTTCGAACATTACAAACCATTCAACTTCAGTGTATTCACATCGGACATTTGTACTTTTAGGATAACATTATCTAACGCCATCGGTAAAAAAAATAACGGCGAGTGATCAGTGAAAACTACAGAGCTAGCCAGCTCCTTATTAAGTGAATTGTACTTTCGTCAAGTCTAAATGAACTCGCCCATCGTGAACCCTCGACAAGATATCAAGGAAGTTCCAGACTAGAAAGAAGACTTTATATTGTATGTAAGTTTGTGAAACTTTTGTATATAAATCAATGTTTGTAATAACTATTATTGAAAATTGTATTATTAGTTGTATATTAAAATATATTTGTATTAAAAAAGAAAACTGTGTGTATCAATCTTGTTGAAAAATATCATAAATTGGAAATATATCGGCATTTATTTAACTACTAAATCTAAACTACAATTTAACTCAGTTTTAGGCTATTTGAAATTGTAAAAGGTAACAAACATTCTTACTTTAGATGTTTTTTAAATCCCATACAACTATTAACATTTTGTTTTGCAGTTCTATTTCACGCTTTTTAACCTGATAAACTGCGAATTCGGCGAAACTAGTTTGCTGCAGTGGGAGTAGTGAATCAAAAAATAGATTAGGTCTCTACTTCATCTCTTCTTCTTTGAAATTCGCGCTTTGATAAAGAATAAAAATTAGCAAGTAAATAAATTTATGTTAATTGATGTTTGGTATTTTATATGTATATATATATTCATCCATTCCTTGTTTAGAAGAAACATAGCAAAACAACGGTCGAAAAAAAAAAAAAGAGATTTCCAGAAAAACAACTACTGAAAACAATTTCATCTGTATTAACTGAACGCCCGGCATGGCCAGGTGGATAAGGCGCTCGAATCGCAATTTGAGGTTCGCGGGTTCGAATCCCCGTCCCACCAAACATGCTCGCCCTTTCAGCCGTGGTGGCATTATAATGTGACGGTCAATCCCACTATTCGTTGGTAAAAGAGTAGCCCAAGAGTTGGCGGTGGGTGGTGATGACTAGCTGCCTTCCCTCTAGTCTTACACTGCTAAATTAGGGACGGCTAGCGCAGATAGCCCTCGTGTAGCTTTGCGCGAAATTCAAAAACAAACAAACAGTTAACTGAACATAAAGAGAAACAAAAATTTTCTTTTATTTGCTTATTTATAGACGTATACGCTCTAGCTTATTTATCGTAATAAATGCTTGATCATGCACGAAAACTGGAGTGAAACTAACACCAATATTGTAAGTCAGTTGGAGTTTGATTACGATTCTCTGCTAGATCACATGTTTGCCAGGTTATACACAATTCAACATTTTTTGCGGTGTAAGTGATTTCTCTAATTATGCAATAAGAACGTAAGACCTCATTGTGAACTCTGTCTTAGATACAGCTAATTTTATGGCTTTATGTTATGTTTTATGACAGAATGACTTCATTGGGGACCTTCTCTTGAGTGCACCACCAGTGGTACATGACGTCCTGTCTTTACCCGTTTAAGCTTTGGCTCTCATGTGCCACCGGTGGTGCACACTATGATTTAAGCAATAATAATCAAATGATCATAATATTCAATATTTTTCTTTTACTTTTTTCAGCCTAATCTTGCCGTTTTTAGAATTTTTCACAATTTTATGGGCGTAAAAAAGGGACATCAGATAAAATAAACCCTACTGTGGATGATAATAGTTCTATTCTTGTTATATTACCGTCTTCATAACAGTTTTTTATTTATGAAAGAAGTTTCAATAAGTGTTTTTTACTTCAATTATTCACAATTAAAAATTTAATGCCAATCTCTAGATGTAATTTTAAAATAAATAGTTATTTAATCGTGTAAATTTGTTTTATTTCAATTGCCCTTTCAACATGGCATTCGTGCTCCATCAATGGTACATGATGGAAGGCGTGGCTTCATTATACCCGTCCCTACAATATAAATACTTTCATATAGGACTTTGAAGATATGAGGTACAGTTATACCTTATGGTTGCCGTGGACCACGGGTGGCTCTCAATGTCCAACAGAAAACATGCATATGTACCACCGGTGGCGTAAGATGTCGTGAACGTGTTAATATTTTTTTGGAAAAATAGCTCTCATTGAATTTATTTAATATTTATAGAATAAATGAAAATGAATCTATATATTTACGACATTCTTTAATAGAGGACGCTAGATCTGTGATAAAACATCTCTCAGTGATGTAAATAATGACGTCAAGATTTTGAGTTTTTATAAGATCTTCAGCCAATCAGGTAATGTAGTGAAAAGTCAGCACTCTTACTAGTGTTTGGAATTTGCCTCTTGATTGGATATGGGCGGAGTCTTTAAATATTTCATAGTAAATAGTAAGTTATATTATACATTGTCCAGAAACTTGAAAGACAGTGGCATCAATGTCTATTTAGGACGGTTGAAATTTTTAGCATTTGTGCTTCAAGAGATTGAACAATTTGGGATAACTCTTGGAGGAAACACGGGGACTTGGTCGACCTCTGAGTATTACTTTTTTCTGTGTGATAATGCTTATTTTGGGACCTCAGCTTACCTAAAAATAGTACCGTACTATACTTTAGTGTACACGTGGTTCTGGTGTACCTTTCTGGCTGTTTTCTCGTAACACAACCAACAAGAAACTTGTATATATAGAATGCTTATCGTCGTCGGTCCAGTACTTTTATTTTATAGACAGTAAATCATTTGTTCTAATCTAATACCTAGCGACTGTATAAAGAAACATGAAGACAGATAAAAACATGGTAAGTTGAAACTTCACGTTAGATTTTTGGTGACCTTTGATTTGTGAAAAGTAAATTATTTTCTGATTAATTTATGCATTTGTATGGATATATATAAAAGTTAACGTTTAATGAGCTGTTTTACTTTGATTTGTATGAAGCAGTGCTTTAGAAATTTCGAATTACCCTCATATAAATGACATTTCAGGCTTCAGATAGAGAAAATTAAATTAGTCTTTATAGGGCTGTCATCAGGTTGTCATTTAAGTGTACTGAAAAATTATATATATATACAAAGTTTTTAACATTATAATGGACGAAAGCTACTCGTCTTCCTTTTATACGTATAACTGCTGAAATAAAATACATTGCAGTATACTGAATTTGCTGATTTTTTATTTGTAATTAAGCACAAAGCTACACAATGGGCTATCTGTGCTGTGCCCACCACAGGTATCGAAACCCGGATTCTAGCGTTATAAGTTCGCAGACATACCGCTGTGCCACTGGGGGGGGGGTGGAATTTGCTTAATCACTGTGATCTAAAAACAACATTAAAGCTTTAATTTATTGGCACTTTGTGCCATATTAAACACATTTATATTTGACATTGTGTTGCATAGCAATAGATAGTCTAGGATCATTATTCAACAGTGTTTTATATGTTTTGATTCCTGTTGACGAGAGGAACTCATCACATAACTGAGAAGTCGAAAGATAGGTATACATATAAAGGAATAGATGCGATTTAATATTAAAAGGTTAAAATTCAAGGCATTTGAACGATGTTTAAAGACCTTTATTCTAAGGTCGTTGATCGGTCTTAGAATTAAGGTTTTTAATTATATCGTTTGAGTATTTTAAAGATATGATTAAAGTGTAGGAGTTATCTTCACTCACATATAGAAAGATGAATAAATTTAGGAAGCGTTCTTCCGCGCCTTACCAAACATATCTCTGGTAAACAAAAATATTGAACACCATCTTTACTTTCCGCCAAAGGGAAGCCAGCTTTACAGGTTGACAGTCAAAGTAGTGCAGAGAAGTCGCTGAGAGAGCTTCTTTTATATAAAATAATACTCGCACAGTTGGATCAATTGAAGGTAGCTTAGAAAGGCTTATATCAAGTGAGCAATTCCTGTGACTGGTGTATGGTTACTACTAGATCACTCAAATAACTTCAGCCCAAAGCCACGAAATTTGTTTCCTTTTTGTTAAAATAGATAGAGAGAAAAGTAAGGGACTGATGCAAAGCAAAAACGAAAACAGAATGTGTAGAGCAGGAGGAGTAAAACACCATCCCAACATCTCGGTTTGTGGAAAGCAAGAGAAGCAAAACATCACTTCCATTATCTCCGTTTGTGGAAAGCAGGAGAAGTAAAACAATTTAATTTGAGGAAATTAAAAGGAGTCAAACAGTAATTCCCCCAGTTTTGTATGTGGAGAAAAGGAGTAAAACAATACGCCTGCCAACCTCTTGTAAGGAAGGCAGAAAGTATAAAACTATGCTTTTACCAATTTCGTTATTTAAAAAAATCACAACACGTACACACATATAGAGAAATGATTAAACTTTAGGAGGTGTCTACTCATACACACACACACATATATATAGAAATATAGATATGATTAAACTTTAGGAGGTGTCTACTCATACACACACACACACATATATAGCAATATAGATATGATTAAACTTTAGGAGGTGTCTACTCATACACACACACTATATATAGCAATATAGATATGATTAAACTTTAGGAGGTGTCTACTCACACACACACACACACACACACACAATATATATATATATAGAAATATAGATATGATTCTAGTTTAGGAGGTGTCTACTCATACACACACACACACACTTGAACCGAGTATTGGTTATCAGTAAAAGTGAACATTGAGTTGGTGTGATCGTATTCAGTACTTTTTACCATGTAAAAGAAAATAATAGTTTTTTTTATATTTCCTGATCCCTAGTGTTTTTCTGTGTGAATGAATACGAACGTTATTTTAATCGTGAGCCCATTCTTTAACTCACCTAAAACTTTTTCACTGTGTTTCTCAAAATTTTGTACAGTTTCTGAAACAGTAAAAAAACTCAATTAATTTCTAGGTTATTGATATTGTGCTAGCACGACGGAAAGATACTAAGTAAATACAGCGTACTGTATAAACACTTATACGGAAAATAAAAATCCCCCACTTATCTCTCATAGTTAATAACCTGGTGAAATAGACACTTATGTTGCTCTAATCAACAACCATGCTTGCTCGTATTTTCAGCGTTTTCAAAAACTAAGTCTATTTAGCCAGAGCATTCTAAATCAAAACTGAAAAGGTGTAGGACGAACTGTGTGATAAGCGATAACCCTCGTATATGTAAATAGTAGCAATTAAAATCATTCATCATTATACGTCATTAATAATATGAGCTAATAACTGTTTACACACTCTCACTCACACACACACATATATATAGAAATATAGATATGATTAAAGTTTAGGAGGTGTCTACTCATACACATACACACACACACACACATATATAGAAATATAGATATGATTAAAGTTTAGGAGGTGTCTACTCATACATGCACACATATATATAGAAGGATAGATATGATTAAAGTTTAGGAGGTGTCTACTCATACACATACACACACACACACACATATATATATAGAAATATAGATATGCTTCTAGTTTAGGAAGTGTCTACTCATACACACACACACACACACACATATACAGTATATATATATATATAGAAATATAGATATGATTAAAGTTTAAGTGGTGTCTACTCATACACACACACACACACACATATATATCTATGATTAACGTTTAGGGAGTGCTCTTTCACGCCTTACAAACATATTTTGAGTAAACACAATATGCGGTAAACCTCATTATCAATGTGCAATAAAACTAACATTTCAAGGTTTGATCTTTCCGAGACGGGTTTCACTATCAGTATTTCAGACTGTAAATTAATGACAGACAGATTATAGTGTCCATAAATCTTTTCTGGTCAAATTAATATTATACATTTTTTCGTTAGTGAACCCATTGTGACTTATGCACATCTTATCAATCCGATATACAGAGTTGAAGTTTCTAACAAAAATCTGAACCGCGTCAACAAAGAATACAGAAATTTGTAATGTTATTCGCAATTACATCACCAATATCAACTAGACTTTACGATTACTAGCTACGCATTTTACATATGTTGAGTATTATGTTTATCAGTATAGTAGAGTAAGAATGAACGATTAAATACCCCTTAAACATTTAGCAGACTAGAAGGAAATAATAAACTCGATTCAAACTGAGTATTGGTATTATATTCCTTTCGTACTCCTCCAAAACAGACTGAGTAGAAAAAGTGTTAACTTAGCAATAGCTTTTATTCCTGAGAAGCTCTGTATGGTATCTATTTACATCATCTCCAAATCTAAAAAAACATTCTATAGCCTATACTCTTTAACTTCGTACACATACTGATGCCAAACTGCATCATTTAATGAATGATCAATCTTTGTATGGAAATAAAGGATAGAATGTAGCTATTTAGACTTGAAGATGATGACCATATGTATCAGCAACACAAAGTTGTGCAAACTGCATCATTTACTGAACAGAACTTTTTGAACTATGAACTCTTGGCTACAGAGAAAGCTTTATAATTTTTTATAATCATCGTTAGCAATGGATATGGTGAATACATTGTGGTTGAAATGCTATTATTATCACACACTTTTATAATTTTTGGAAATCCTTAAGTGTCTAGATAAAAAATACAATAGGCCTAACAATAATGTCTTGTGACAAGTACATTACTAATCATGCCTTGCCAACTTGTAAGAGGCATTTACACCACTATTTTGTAGGGAAGTACATCTAAACTCTTGTTGAAATTACGTAGTGTCAAAACAAAACTTTCTAAACCGATAATAAGTACTTGAAACCTGTTTACTGAATTTTCTGAAACCGATAGTTGATATTTCAAACATGTTATCGGACATTAAATACATTTTAAAGACAAATTATTGTAAATACATACAAAATATAAATTTCTTATATTTGGACTCAACATTTTTGATAGTGTTATTTACGTTATCTGGACCAGTCCTGCTCAATGTGTAACACAACTTACTGGTTAACAGATTTTCTTCACAGTACAGTACTGTTACTAAAATAAGTATTACTACTGTCTCCCAATAAAACTTTTAATAAGGAAGCTCTGAATAGCATTTAAAGTTCTTTATAGCACGTACGTGTGTGAACACAGCTGACAACAGCAAGTCAAACCAAAGAGCATATCAATTAAAAGTATATAGATAAGGCTTTTCTCCACTACTCCCTCAGTTATCCAATGAAGGGGGGGGAGGGGTAATACACGTAAAAAAACCATAGGACACCCATCTGTGATACTTTAGTACTTATGCCACATTGGTCTCCCTAGCTTGTCAGTAAGGGCATGAACATAGTTTCAAACATGGCACCTTCGGGATACCGAGGGAGCAAGGAACACAAAATCCGATGCCACCTTCGGGTTCAGCAACTATGAAACCTCTTGTTAGACCCATGTTATGTCTGGGTATCTTTCCTGAAGCGTCTGGTCTCCTTTAGTATCCCCTGGTAGAGGGCTACACCATGAAATAAAGTCACCACTAGGCCATCTGGAGTCCGCCTAACGAAATGGATCAAGCAAGCTCCAAAACTTTGAATGGTGTTATCGAACAAATAACGTGAAGTAATATAGGATTATTGTTTGTTGATCATAAATTTACCCAACGAGCTATATTTGCTATGCTCATTGCGGATGTCGAAACCTGATTTGTAGCGTTTTAAGCTACTTACCCTGAGCCACTTGGGAAAGGTTATAGGATTCTAAACAATAATATTCTAGGCTGTAATTGAATAAGAAAAACAAAACAAAAAATTCACTCACTGGTCACTAAATCACCCGCTGGTGATTGAAGATTACATAATTAAATTAACTT